CTAAGCAGAAATGCGTGGCAGACTCCACCATGGAAGCCGAGTACATAGCAGCCTCAGAGGCAGCGAAAGAGGCAGTTTGGCTCAGGAACTTCTTAGTGGACTTAGAGGTTATACCGAGTTTGCCACGTGGTATCACCGTGTACTGTGATAACAGTGGAGCAGTAGCGAACTCAAAAGAACCTCGAGCCCACAGGGCAAGCAAACACATAGAGCGCAAATACCATCTGATTCGGGATATCGTTGGTAGAGGAGACGTTGATGTTGCCAAGATTGCATCAGAGGATGCATGGCAATAGGATCGACATAGGTCTTTTAGAATAACGGATTGATAGGACTATACTGTAAAAGCGAAAGCTTTAAGTATAAGTGGGAGATTGTTAGTGTTATATACTGAAAGCTTGGCTTTGCATGTTATTACACATTTACCCTTTATGAATGAGAATCATGTTAGATTAAACAAGTTCTACGTTCTGTTGTTCTGCACTTAGATAGGGTGGGTCGTCATCGGGCGAACCGAAGATCACTCTATCAGTCACTTGCGAACAAGAATAGTTGTTCACAACCTAGATGGACATGAACACCCCATCCGAACGGTTGTAGTGTCAACTGTACAGTTTGTCTTGACTGATTAGTTGCACTAGTACATTTATGTATTGAACAGGATCCCAGAGAGGAGAAGTTCATTTTATACTGATCGTCGTAAATGAACTAGGCCTCGGTTAATTACTGCGTTCTCTTAACCCGTAAGATATTAAACAGGCAGATATATATAATATATATTACTTTGATTCACATGGGTGAGGTTCAGTTCGCTGGATTAATATTCCTACTGTTTTGGGTAATATTATTATATATAGGATGTGCTGTTAGGATATTTACGGTCACCATGTGCGTTAGTTTGATGATGTCCCCGGAGTGAGTTCATGAAGGATTGTTATGCTAAACCCTGCAGGTGGATTAAATTCCGGCATAATAAGAATGTGATGAACGAGCGCTAGCTTCGGTGAAATAATAATAAATTAATTAATTCTTGATTGTCAGTAATCGAATTAATTAATGGACATTATATCTTAAACGTGGGGAGGTAAATCGAGTAATTATTATTGGAGTCTCAAATGTAATTTGGGCTAGGGAAAGGGAGTGCAATAATATAATGTTGGTGGCCCATTAATATTATTTAATTAATTAGAGGAGTGGGTTTGGCCCACAGTTAGTCTAATTAATTAAGGAGCCCTTTTCCTAATCTCCTTAGGGTCCCTACTGTAGCTCTATATATACATCATTAAGCTCATGAGAAGAGAATAGAATTCATTCTCACGTGAAACACGCCTCTCTCTCTAGATCTCATTCGAGCTTTATCTTCTTCTTGTTGCTCCACTGGTACAAGTTGAAGAAGGGTGTATTGAGTAATACAGTAGAAGATCTGTAGGTAAACCGAGACGAAATTGATTTTGACCTACAGAACTAACCGGAAGTCCGATTGAGACGTACAGTATACCCAGACGACCGTCTCGACGAGAGCTTTCCATCGCCGCCGACGTCGCCGGAATCCGACGCCGCACGCGCCCTCACGCGCCGCCGGAAGGTGTCTGGCAGCAAAATTTCGTTTTGATCTGTTTGCATCCGTTTGATCCAGTTTTGATCTGATCTTGTTCGTGCAACCCAAGACGCGTGTTGCGGTCAATCAATTGCGGTCAACCGTTCGTGGTCAACCAGATCTACATAAATTTTAAGCCGTAAGTTCTCTACGTCAAACCTTTAGATCCGCTGCGCATAGGTTTACGTTTGCTATTGAATTCGTGATTTGTACATAACGAGATCCTCACAGATCCCAACAAAGTTACCAGAAGAGGTATGAAGCAGAAAAGAAGTAAAACTCTCACATCTTAGAGTTTTTGGGTGTGTAGCGTATGTGCACATCAGTGATCAAGGTAGAAACAAACTTGATCCAAAATCAAAGAAATGTACTTTTCTTGGATATGGTGAAGATGAGTTTGGTTACCGCATATGGGATGATGAAAACAAAAAGATGATCCGCAGCAGAGATGTCATCTTTAATGAAAGAGTGATGTACAAGGACCGGCATAATACAGGTGCCAGCAGCTCAGAAGCGAGTGGGCCAGTTTATGTTGAGCTGGAAGATATCCCAGACAGTCCTATAATGAGGAGTCCTCAGTCAGAGAAATCAAATGAAGAAAGTGATTTGCAATCAGAACCTCCTACTCCAACTCCTGTATTGAGAAGATCATCTCGGCCCCATGTGCCTAACAGGAGATACATGGACTACATATTGCTGACTGATGGAGGGGAGCCTGAAAGTTACATGGAAGCTTGTCAAACCACGGATGCTAGCAAGTGGGAGCTTGCCATGAAGGACGAGATGAAGTCCTTGATCTCAAATCAGACATGGGAACTAGTCAAGTTACCTATGGGAAAGAAAGCACTTCACAACAAATTGGTGTATCGGGTGTGAAGACCATGATGGTTCAAGGAGATACAAAGCCCGACTGGTAGTCAAAGGATTTCAGCAGGAAGAAGGAGTTGACTATACTAAAATCTTTGCTCCAGTTGTAAAGCTCAATATTATCAGGACTGTGTTAAGTATTGTGGCTAGTGAAGAGCTCTACCTAGAGCAATTAGACGTGAAGACTGCATTTCTTCACGGAGACCTAGATGAGGAGATCTATATACACCAGCCTGAAGGATTTTCAGATGGAAAGAAGGATATGGTGTGTAAATTGAAGAAGAGCTTGTACGGCCTGAAACAAGTTCCAAGACAGTGGTATAGGAAGTTTGAAAGCTTCATGCACAAGGAAGGTTTCCAGAAGTGCAATGCTGATCACTGTTGTTTCTTTAAGAAGTATGAGTCCAGCTATATCATCTTGCTACTTTATGTCGATGACATGTTAATAGCAGGATCAGATATGAAAGACATCAGAAAATTAAAGATGCAGTTGTCAAAAGAATTTGACATGAAGGACTTAAGCCCAGCAAAGAAGATTCTTGGAATGCAAATCACGAGAGATAAGCAAAAGGGAGTTTTGCAGTTATCTCAGGCGGAGTACATCAACCGTGTTTTGCAGAGATTTAACATGGACAAGGCTAAGCCAATCAGTACACCTTTGGCCAGCCATTTTCGTCTATCCAAGGATCAGTCTCCTCAAACAAAGGAAGAAGAAGAGTTCATGGCTAAGATTCCTTATGCTTCAGCCATTGGAAGTTTGATGTACGCGATGGTCTGTACGAGGCCAGACATTGGCCATGCAGTGGGAGTTGTAAGCAGGTTTATGTCAAAACCAGGAAAAGCTCATTGGGAAGCAGTCAAATGGATTTTGAGATATCTACGGGGTACAACAGAAAAATGTTTGTATTTTAGAAAAGGAGATCTAAAGTTACAGGGCTACGTAGATGCAGACTTTGGAGGTGAAGTTGATCACCGAAGAAGCACCACCGGTTACATTTTCACTGTCGGAACTACAGCTGTTAGTTGGATGTCGCGGATACAAAAGATTGTTGCTCTATCCACTACAGAGGCTGAGTATGTAGCAGTGACAGAAGCTAGTAAAGAATTGATATGGCTTCAAGGATTGTTAGCAGAGTTGGGTTTCACTCAGAAAGAGAGTGTCTTGCACAGTGACAGTCAGAGTGCAATACATCTGGCAAAGAACTCAGTGTTTCACTCCAGAACTAAGCACATTGACATACAATATCATTTCATCAGATCTCTTCTCGAGGATGAAGTGTTGACTTTGAACAAGATTGTAGGAAGCAAGAACCCTGCAGATATGCTAACGAAGGTGGTGACCATTGACAAACTGAAGTTGTGCTCAACTTCAGTTGGCTTGCTAGAATAACAGACCGGAGAAGACTACTGCAGTAATTGAGGTGTGAGGACAGATTGAAATCAGTCCTCAAGTGGGAGATTGTTGAGTCATAAATGGCTGCAAGCCACTTTCTTGGACAAGCACACAATGAAAGAAAAAAAGGCATCAAACATGTGTTGGAAAATTTGCAGCCGGTGGGTTGCTGAAATATGTGGAAAAATTGAGTACACCTTTGTGGAAAAATTGTGCAATTCCCCCTCTATAAATTGAGGGGAATTCTCATGAGCAAAGCACCACAACAAAGAAAAACACAAGAGAGATAAAAAAGAGAGTGAGCTAAAAATAATTTAGCATTTGTGTGTATTTTTGAGTTGTGAATTGTGAGTGGTTTCGAGAGTGTTTTGTAAACACGAGTGTATTTTTTTCTTCCTAATAAAATATCTGCAGTAGTCCGGAGACGTAGGTATTATTGGCCGAACTCCGTTATCAAATTGGTGTGTCCAATTTTTATTTTTTATTTCACTTTTATAGATCCGACTTCATGGAAAATTCAGCGTATTTTTCCCAACAGATTGAAGGGGTCTATGAAAACAAAACTAAAACATAATCACCAGAAAATTCGACAATCTAGTCGTCGTTAATTTCCACTTATAGTTTCCAATTCGTAGACGAACATTGTAAAATCTGAAAACTTCGGCAGCCTATTACTGGAGATTGGAATCTACCATGGACAATCTAAATATACCATTAAATTCTTCAAGGGAACATCTTTCTAAGCATATAGTTTTCATAAAAATGCAACAATCATGTAACATTCCAATTACCTGTTCGATTTTATAAAACCTTACTGCGGAAAACATTGTCATTAGAGAACGTTGTCGCGTAATGATATTCGAAGGATGGTGGCGATTGCAGGGCGACGATAATCAAAGGGCAACAAGTGACAAGATGGGAAAAGTAAATTTAATAATTTTAATTAATATTATCATAATACTTTATTATGTTGTAGATTATTATTAAAACTTTTAATTCATTTTTTTAAAATGTTTTACATTTAATTCATTTTTGAATTCAATTTTTATGTTAGGACATTATATTTATTTAGTAAGGATTTAAAAAATAATAATTAAAATGACACGGATTCAAAATTTAAATTGACCCAAGTCTTTAAGTCGCAATAGAAAAACAATAAAGTGAATTGGACACTCATTGAACTTCTATAAATAGTAGCTTCCCATATTCACAAATAACATAGAAAAANAAACCAATATACCACTAAATTCACCAAAAGTCTCTCGAATTTCAATACCGCATTCACATATAATCTCTCAAGCAAATGGCCCCATCACAGAAAGCTCCAACTTTCAAAGTGACCCGGAATACCCCGGAGCTGATTCCGCCGGCAAAGCCCACGCCCTACGAATTCAAGCCTCTTTCCGACATCGACGATCAAGAGGGCCTCCGTTTCCAGATTCCGGTCATACAGTTCTACTGGAATAACCCGTCCATGGAGGGAAAAGACCCGGCCCGTGTCATTCGGGCCGCTGTGGCAGAGGCGCTCGTCTACTACTACCCGTTCGCCGGCCGGCTGAGGGAGTTCGCCGCCAGGAAGCTGGTGGTCGAGTGCACCGGCGAAGGTGTCTTGTTCATCGAGGCCGATGCTGACGTGGCGCTGTCGGAGTTCGGGGACAGCCTTCAGCCGCCGTTCCCCTGCCTCGAGGAGCTGCTCTACGATGTTCCGGGCTCCGGCGAGGTGGTCGGTTGCCCGTTGATTCTCATTCAGGTCACTAGTTTAGTAATTTACAATATTTCTTTTTACATATATTGTTTTTTTATTTCTTTTTTGACTATTTGACTGTACTGTGATTGCAGGTCACGCGCCTGAAATGCGGCGGCTTCATCTTCGCCCTCCGCCTCAACCACAGCATGGCCGACGCCGTGGGCCTCGTCCAGTTCATGTCTGCAATGGCCGAGTTCGCGCGTGGTGCCCACGCCCCCTCCGTACGACCCGTGTGGGACCGCCACCTCCTCAGCGTACGGGACCCACCGCGCGTGACCCACACCCACCGCGAGTACGACTCCATCCCCGACACCAAGGGGACCCTCGTTCCCCTCGACAACATGTCCCACCGCTCCTTCTTCTTCGGACCGGCCGAGATCGCCGCCCTCCGCGGCCGACTCCCGCCGGAACTCCGCCGCCGCTGCTCCTCCTTCGATGTCCTCACCGCCTGCCTCTGGCGGTGCCGAACGGCGGCCATCTCGCCGGAACCCGACGAGGAGGTCAGAGTCATCTGCATCGTCGACGCCCGCCGGCTGCTCGACCCGCCGCTCCCCGTCGGCTACTACGGCAACGCGTTCGCCTTTCCAGTGGCGAGGGCCGCCGCCGGGAGGCTGACGGGGAGCCCGCTGGGGTACGCGGCGGAGCTGGTGAGGGGGGCGAAGGCCGGCGTGACGGGGGAGTACATGAGGTCGGTGGCGGACCTGATGGCGACCGGCGGACGGCCGCACTTCGGGGTGGTGAGGACGTACCTGGTGTCGGACCTGATCCGGGCGGGGTTCGAGGAGGTGGACTTCGGGTGGGGCGCGGCGGCGTACGGCGGGGCGGCGAAGGGGGGCGTGGGGGCGATCCCGGGAGTGGCGAGCTTCTACATACCGATGAAAAACGGAAGCAGGGAAAGGGGCGTGGTGGTTCCCGTCTGCCTGCCGGCGGACGCCATGGAGGTTTTCGTGAGGGAGGTCAAGGCCATGGTGAAAAGGGGAAACGGCGATACTTTCATAGGTTCATCACTGTAGAGTTTGTACGTTTTGCTTATCATGTTGTACTGTTGTACTATTGTCTTATGGTACTAATGTCTTTGGGAGGAGTTGAGATAAAATAATTGAGATAAGAGGTTAAAAAATAAAAATAAAAATAATAGTAATAATTACCTGACGAGTGAGGGGCCTATGTTGTGTACTTCGTCGGATAAAATTTGTATCTACTGAAAAATGAAAATATGTATATCTACTGGAAAAGTCTGAAATGTTGATCATTTTACATAACGAATGAGAGCTATGTCATTATTTAATTTGGTAATTGAGGTTTGCAAATTCTAATCTTAATAAAGTACATTATAAAATTTTTGTTCAGTTGGTACATAGGTAAAATGAGTTGGATATATATATATATATATATATATATATATATATATATATATATATATATATATATATATATATATATATATATATATATATATATATATATATATATATATATATATATATATATATATATATATATATATATATATATATATATATATATATATATATATATATATATATATATATATATATATATATATATATATATATATATATATATATATATATATATATATATATATATATATATATATATATATATATATATATATATATATATATATATATATATATATATATATATATATATATATATATATATATATATATATATATATATATATATATATATATATATATATATATATATATATATATATATATATGGATGGGTGTGAGTATGTTTTGTCACTATAATAAATAATAATGAGTTATTGTCATAAGATCTGATAATTCAAGTGCAAAAAATTAGTCAAGATTATACACAAATAAAAGATATATTGGATATTTTCTCTACTACATGTTCTATCGCGGGACACCTCCTCAAGGTATTCCTCATTCTTATCCCTAAAGTACAACCATCAACAACAACAACATGCTCTGGAAGCATGTACGCCCGACGAGCTCAAGCAGAGTCGGCAACACCTGCAACCACCTAGGAGCTTCGTTTCTTCACTTCGATCAGTCCCTCCCTTCGGTTCGTTCAGTCAGCTTCGCGAAGTGAGACTAAGAGAACGAAGTGAATGTAATCGAAGAGTATTAAGCTAGCAAAGCGAAGTGAAGTAAGTGTAAGTCAACTAATGCTGTTGTGCTTCAGTCACAACAGAACCAGCAGTCTGAAAGCAAGAGACACCTTTGATAGTTCATAATCGAAGTGAATAAACGAACCGAAGTGTACTTTAGAAGCGAAGCAAAGTTCAGTCATAAGTCTTGGCGAAGCGAAGTGAAGTCAAAGAAAGGATTGCATCTGTCTTTCTTTGTCTTTTGCCTTTACTGCCTTTAAAGTGTGTGTATTTGTTCTCTAGCTTGGGTATATCCTCTAAAGGGTGCCATGAATGTTGTGGTATACCACACAGGAGCAGGAAGGGAAAAACATTTAAGGGGGAGTTACATCACATTCTCCCCCTCCATATACACAAGAACTGCATACTCCTAAAAAATAAACCCAGACTACCCTAAAAGATAAACACTATATACAGACCATCATCCTATACCACAAATAAAACCAGACTTCAAAAGAGTTAAATACTACCAAAACACAGCAGACTAGATAAAACATAAGGCACTGTCAACTAAGAAGGTTGACCTACCTTTCATGAACCTACCAAAAGAACCTAAACCATAAGCAAAAGACAAAACAAAATAAAAGAAAAGAAAAAGCTAAGAACAAGTTACAGATCCAGCAACAATATTACTAAACTCCATCCACTCCCCTTTTGCTCCTTCAGCTGTATCCCTTTCAGAGCAAAGTTGGTTTCTGAACATCCAATTGTTCCTCGTCTTCCAGAGCCACCAAAGGATATAGGTAGATAAAGAGACTCTATCCCTATTCCATTTGGTTTCCTTCAGAAGACATAGCCCATCCCACCAGTCTTGAAAATTCTGTTTCTGTCTATTACCACTCTCCCATTGTAGCCCTGCCAACTCCCATACCAGCTTTGCTCTAGAACAGAAAAATAAGATATGATCTTTGTCTTCCTCTTCTTCTCCACACCATCTGCAAGTAACATCTACAGCCATCCTTTCTATCTTAAGGCCACTGACGAGCTCAGATAATTGTGCCAATATCTCCATAAAAAACTTTTGATCTTTGGCTTAATTTTGAGTCCCCAGGTCTTCTTCCACATTTGCTTCATTGCTACATTGCCTTTGCTAGTCCCTGGTTTCTCTTTTTTCTGCTTTTCAACCAATAGATTGTACAAAGATTTGACAGAGAAAAAGCCTTTTTTTGTGCCAATGCCAAACAAGGGTATCATGTTGGTGTTCTGAGTTGAGAGGGATTTCCAGGATACATTGAGCATCAGTTGGGTGAAATGTTTGTTCAATAAGCTCTCTGTCCCAACCCCTCCCATCAGCTAGGATAAGCTCACTCACTTTATTCAACCTATCTTTATCCCTAGAAAAATGACAGATTGGAATAAATCTAGGAATATTAGGCACCCAAGGGGAGGACCATATATTTATAGATTCACCATTACCAACCCTATACCTAATACCCAGAAGAAGAGACTTTCTAGCTTGCAACCATGATTTCCACATCCACGAGTCAGAGTGTTTAGGTTTTATATCCCAGAGATTAGAATTGTGGAAATATCTCCCTTTAACTACTCTGCTCATGAGAAGATTTGGCAGGAGAGAATTCTCCACAGTTGTTTGACAAGAAGAGCTTCATTAAACAAGGAGAAGTTTTTAAAACCTAATCCCCCCCAAAGATTTAGGTCTGGAAAGCTTACCCCAAGATGCCCAATGAATTTTATGCTTGACCTCACCACTGTTTCCCCACCGAAATTTGGCTGCCAGCCTGCATATTTCTTTACATATACCTACAGGGAGCTTGTAACAAGACATTACATAAGTGGGCAAGGCGCCAATCACAGTTTTAACAAGAAGTTCCCAACCTGCCTCACTCAAAAAACAGTTCTTCCAATTAAAAATCCTACCCAAAACACTATTAATAACAAAATTAAAAGTATTAGATTTAGACCTACCAAACCCAAAAGGGAGCCCTAAATATTTGGTGGACTTCACTAGAGAAATCCCCTCAAAAATGCTGCAGATTTCTTCCTTGATTTCTGGCAGGGTGTTCTTAGAGAAAAAGATAGTAGACTTGGACAGGTTTACTTGTTGGCCTGAAACAATACCATACTGAGCCAAAATATTGAACAACACATAGGCCTGAGAAGGTGTTGCCTTACAAAAGAACAAAGAGTCATCAGCAAAAAATAGGTGAGAAACAATAGGAGAGAAATGACTAATTTTGAAACCAAGAAAAGAGCCATCTATACAAGCTTGCTTAACCAAATTAGATAGGGCTCTTGACAAAATAATAAAGAGGTAGGGCGAAAGAGGATCCCCCTGTCTAAGCCATCTAGAAGAAGATATGAAACCCAAAGGCTGAGCATTCAAATTAAATGAAAAAGAAGAAGAATTAATACAGGCTAGAACCCAAGCAATGAAAGAAGAACAAAAACCCATTTTTTCCATAACTTTAGCAAGGAAGGTCCATTCTACCCTATCGTACACTTTAGCCATGTCTAACTTGAGAGCCATAAGATAGGTTTTGCCTTTCCTTTTACTATTAAGACAATGGATATATTCATTAGCAATGACCATGTTGTCCAAAATTTGTCTTCCCGGGACAAAAGCTGCTTGGTTTGGGGAAATACAAAAGGGAAGAACATCTTTTAATCTATTAGCTAAGATTTTAGAGACAATCTTATAGATGACTGTACACAGGCTAATCGGTCTGAAATCATTAACAGTTTGAGGGTTCAGGAATTTGGGAATCTATATATATATAATAAGAATTAACATTTACCAAAAATAGTAGCAAAAAAATAGGTCAATAATTTAATGCAATCTATAAATAGTAAGTTTTATTATTTTTCTTATTTTTTTCTTTAAAAATCATACAACATTAAATGCTACCTTAAATTTTGGGCTTTAGTTTATTTTATTATTTAAAAAATCCGGCTAAGATTTATTAAGTGTGTCTGTTTTTATTTTTATTTTTTTTCTTAGAAACAACAAACAATATTAAATCTCGGTCTCTATATTTATAAAGTCTCAATTCAAAATATAACAAAAGTTTTTGAATCTCGGTCTTCATATTTATGCCTTAAAAAAATTGAACACTAAAAATATTCTTTAAATTGCATAATAAATCAATTAATCTTAATTTTTTGAAAATTACTATGTTTAATTAAGTCATCTTTAGATATATAATTTAAAATCATAATATACTATCATTTGGTGTAGACATATATTATATGAATTATAAAATATTTTTATTTCATAAAATTAAATATATTTAAAGAAAAAAAGAAAATTTCTTCGGATCAATCGGCTGATTGAATTAGGGTACTGCCCAGGTTGATTGAATTATATTTATGTTATATTTAAAATAGTCAAAAAACTTGACACAACTTAGGTGATCCCAAGTGACTAAGTTATGTATCAGTTCGACCACACCAAATCGATTATTGAACCTAAATATAAATTTTATAGTGAAAATATTTTATTACGTGAATGTGATGTAGTCCAAACTTCAAAAAATCGTATTAACAATACTTTTATGACAACATGTTTAATGATTTATGAATAGTTATATATCATTTTATTAATATTTATGTGAATTAAATAATATTTTATTATAATATTTATTAATGTACAGTAAATATAAGGTTTTCTGACTGGACCATCATCGAAACGATCAAGCTATTATATTAAATCATTTGTGGTTTGTTCAGATTTTAATTTATGAACATTTTAATATATATATATATATATTTATATATATATATATGTATATATATATATAGTACATTTTGTAATAAATTTAAATAAAATGTGTTACTTAGATATCTAAACAATTTATAAATTCAAATGTTTAAACTAATTGATAAATAATTTATAAATCTCTATTTTATTTAAATATGTAATTTTATTTAAAATAATAAAATTTATTTAGAAAATTGTATCGATCCTATCAGTCCAACCGACTGGTATTGACGGATTCGAGAGCAAATATTTTATTCAAGCGAACTAGACTGGTTATAAACCGGTTCTCGATCCATCCGGTCGGACTGTGTTCAACCCGATTTAATTTAAAAATAATGGATATATCATGATTAATGTTATTTATATATTTAATTTATAATACAATCGTAATATTTTTTTCCCGTGCATCGCACGGGCTACGCACTAGTGAGGGTTATTAAGGTATGGTTTATATTTTTAGGCATTTTCCTG